ATAGGTCGTGACCCTATATGGGGGCCTGAACAATTTGGCAACAGTAAAAGGTTTCTGAACGTGCAACAATCAAAAATTAATTCAAAATCAAACTCATACTGAATGTGAGGTGTTTCTGGCAGTGCTTGCCCATGTTGCATTGCACAACTTCACTGCAGCCTTGGTTCTGAACACAAAGCATGCACATTTGTACTGTGCATACCCTGAGACCATGCAATGCCGACTAATGCTGCCAAAACACAAAAAGGGATTGGGAGTGGAAAAAGTTTAAGATACCCTGGCCTAGATGACCATTTGTTGAGTATGTTGTAATCAGAATCAATGCTTTGGATGTCATTTGTGATAGATGGCCTGTGAGGTCATTTCCAGTTCTGAGTAGTCCTTAAGTATTCTTCAGAAATGCAGTTTCTATGAATTGAACCATTTCCTAATACTAATTACATTACCTTTTTTTTTTTAATATGATGATTGTGTAGTAAAAATAAGAGGTAACAGATGGGCAGCCCAAGTATTACAGTGCTACACTCAAGATGTCAAAAGAATTGGAGGAAGGATTATAAATTTAGAACTTGAAGAGATCTTAAAAGTCTTAGAATCCTAAAGATAGACAGATGGAAGATAGATATAGATAACAAGGAAGAAAGGAAATTTGTTAAGTGATTACTACATGCCAGGCAACATGCTAAGATGGTGAGGATACCAATACAAGAAAGCAAGACAAATACTTCTCCAATGGGAGAAAAAGCATATAAAGAAAAGCTGAAGAGGAAAGGGTATGCCCATCATGGAATGTTTCTGAGAAAGTAAAAGAAAAAAAAGCTACCTATCCAAGCTTGGAATCCCATGGAGTAGAGTTCAAGGTTCTAGTAAAGCAGCTGGGGGAAGGGGGGATAGATGAGGATGATGACCAGAGTGCAGGCATAGAGATGGCCAACAAGTGATGTGGTCACTCACTGTTTGAAACTGGAAGGAATCTTAAAGACCCTCGAGTTTAATTTCTTCATATTACACATGAGGAAAGTGAGGCCCAGTTAAAATAATTAGCTTGCCTAGGGTCAGTCAGTTAGTAGTGTTTGAGGTAGGACTTGAACCCAGTTATTCCTAACTATAGGTCCAGCACTCTATTCACCATAGCCTGCTGTCTCATGAGACAATAGCTAAGTTATGTACATCTTCTATGGAGAGTGTCTGAAAACATGGCCAAGAACTTCACAGGATGAGAAAGAGATGGAGGGAATCCCTACACTGATGAAATCAAGAGATTTTTCAAAATATCAAAGCATGTATAACTAAATGCCAATAAATATAAAAAGCAATAAATCAGTTAAAGGAAGCTGAAGCAAAATAGCTTCTAATCAAACCCGAATGTGATTTCTATTGTTAAAAAATATCAGGTATAAATGATGTCCAAGCAAACAATAAGCCCCAAAGAACATATTTATCAGAAGAGACAGAATAACAGACATTAATAAGCATAAGATAACACTTAGAATGATCAGAGATTTTGTAATATTCAGATAATCTCCAGGCTTAAGAGAAATTTATATCCTCCAAGGAAACAGGCCTTTCTATTTATAGATCATTAGGTGGCTCATATTCAAAACCTGTCCACAGTTTCCTGACTGCAAAGGAGGTTTGTCAATTCACAAGCTCGACAGTTTCCAAGTGCACTCATTACAGTGGCATGTTGCAGCAAAATCCAAACATATACATACATATATACACATATACATATATATGTATATATATGTGTGTATGTATATATATATACATATATACATATATATACATATATATGTATATATATGTGTGTATGTATATATATACATATATATATATACATATATACATATACATATATACATATATACATATATATACATATATATACATATATATGTGTGTGTGTGTATATATATATATATATATATATATATATATATATATTCTGTAAGCTTTATTTTTATGTCTTCCAGCCTGATCTAATTTTCAGAGACTGTTTTTTAAAGGAAGTAATTTGTAGTGGTTTAAAAAAAAATCAAAAGAATGCATTCCACAACCTTACTTCATAGGAAATGCTTCTTGCCTCACCTCAGTGTCATTAGTAACAATTTTTACTCATCTTACTGATTGAGGGAAAATGGAAAGTAGAGGCTAGAATGCTGGATTTAGGGTCAGGATGACTTGGGTTCAAATCCAGTCTCTGAAACTTACTAAGTATATGACTATGGGCAAGTCATTTTATCTTTCTGAGACTCAGTTAACTACCCAAGACTAATTTACTGAGTTATAGATGGGTGACACTGATACAAAGAGATCTTACATGGGTGACATAATAGATTGTGATGTACTCTTAATTGGGAAATGAGGAAAAGAAAACTGATGACAACACAGGAGAGTGAGGGGGAATGATAGACTGGGCTTTAGAAGTTATGAACCTTTCATTAATCCTTGACATAACTTTGATGAGATGAGAGAATAATGATTGAAAATACCCATAGGACCATGTAAGGATGGGGAAAGAGATAGAAGTAGCTTAATATTGCTTCATAAGATATCAGAAGTTTAATCTTCATTCAAAAAGAAGATTGCAATTTAAGTATTTGAAGTCATACTTGGAGGTGAATAAAAGTATAGGAAAACATACCACCGTAAAAGACTGGAGTTTCAGATCTTCAATCTAAATTGGACTGAAACTGTTTATGTCCTTACCCTTTATCTTCTGGAAATCAAAATCCACTTTCCTTAATCCAGATATACATCTTCTACTCTGTGCACAACCTTTATCAAACTATTAAATTTAGACAGAGAATGCTGGTGCTATCTTGGTGACCTCATCAGGTCCCATGGGTTTAATTATCAAGTCTATGCTGATGAAACCCAGATCTATATATGCAGCCCCAGTCTCTCCTCTCAGTTTTGTCACCAACTGCCTATTGAACATTTCAAATTGGAGTTTCTGGAGACATCTCAAATTCAGCATGTTCAAAACAGAACTCAAACCGCTCTTTCAAACTTCCCTATTTCTGTTAAAGGTACCACAATTTTTCTAGATTTTCAGGTTCCTAAATCTTGGCATTAGCCTCAGTTTCTCACTTTCCATCACTCCATATATCTAGTTAATTGTCAAGTCTCATTGTTTCTATCTCTATATTTTTCATCCAACCACTTCTCTCTACTCCTCACACAGCTACCATCTTAATTTGGGCCATACCTCATCTCTTCTTGCCTAGATTATTACAATAGCTTCCTAAATGGTCTCTTCTCATGGAAGGTAAATGAAATAATAGGGGTTTATATTACTCAGCCCTTCACATAACATTATTTTATTTGTTCCTCATAAGAGTTTTGTGAAAGGTGTGATAAAAATCTAATAATCCTCATTTTATCAATGAAGCAACAAGTGAGCCTCAAACAGTTTGGTAAATCCAGGATGTGAAACCAGGGCTTTTGAAGACTAATAAAAAGAGCATAGCATTTGGAGTTAAGAGCACCTGGGTTCAGTTTCTGGCCCTGTTCCATACTACCTGCGGAAAAGTGGCCAAGTCATCTAACATCTCTTGGCCTCCATTTCCTCATCTATAAAATAAAAGGGTTGTGTGGGGGGGGGCAGTTGGACTAGATAATCTCTAAACTCCCTCCCTCTAAAGTCTATGAACTCCCTGTACTAAAATCTCCTCTACTAGACTATGAGCAGAGAAGAAAGATTGGTTGTTTACATGGCACCCAATAAAATGCTAATTTTAAATGCACCTGGTTCTAACTACAGCTAGAAAGAGCCAATGTCCCATTTTCAGAGCAATAAAGTACTAAGCTATAATTTCTGAAAAGCATTTCCATCTGCATTATCCTTTTATCTTGTTCATGTTATTTTAATTATTAAACAATTTACATATATTCATCTATTTACTTATTTATACTAGCAGTGATATTCTGATTTGAATTCTAACATTTTAATTACTAAGACTGGGAGCATAATACCATCTCCCATATTTCCTCAAATATTCACAAGCAAGCTAGCATGGCATTCTGCTCTGACAGGCCATGTGTTTAATTGTTTCTAACTGAAAAGAATGAGCTGACACATCATTATCAAAATATTAACAGACAATTTCTACAAGGGGTAGAATTCAAAATTAACAAGCTATTCTTCATTTGGACTACTTCATGTCGTTAACAATGGATAATTACCTCTTTACTAGTGCATTATCTATGTATCCATTATTTTATCCAAATATATTCCCCTTTACAGTACCACAGTCCATCATAGTAAAAGACTATTGTTTTCAGAAGCAAACATATTCATATGTTCCTACTGCCCAGACTCTTTTGTCTTCTGTATACATGCCATAAACTTCAAAGGGGTAAAATATCCCTTTATTGCATATCTTGATCCTGAAAAAAAAAAAAGATTTTTACAAGGTATTTGACATTGTCTTGCTCCATCCTTGTGGACAAGAAGAAGCATGATCTGGATGAATTTTAGTTGAGGGATGTGGAAATGACTGAATGGATAGATCCAAAGAATAATAATTGATCTCAACCTTAAGGGAGGACACTCCAGTAGATTTGTCCTTGGTCCTGTTTTCTTTAACATTTTTATTAATAACTCAGATAAAGGCAGGGATGGCAAATTTCTTAAATTTGCATAGACCACCAAGCTGAGAGGAATAGATAACAACAGAAATACAGTTGAAAGAGATTTCAATAAGCAAGAGAAAATGGCTTAAATCTAATAAGTTGAAATTGAAGTCAGTTAGTTAACAAAAACTTATTAAACCCTTACTATTGCCAGGCACAATACTAAGCTCCGGGAATACATGTGTAAGGTCCTTGACCTTAGGAAGCTTACATTCTAATGAGGGAAAACATATTAAGGGAGCTGAAAAGTGGATGGGAAATGGAGAGAATAGGGACATGGTGTCAAAATCTAGAGAAAAGAATGAATGATTCCTGGCTTAGGGCCCTTCCTCAACCTGAAGGTTCCTGGAGAAACTCACCAATGAGAGAAGGAGATGACATGGATGGAAGAATGTCTCAGGACTAGAGGGCAGCTAAAACACAGTGGCAAAGTCCTAAAAGTCAGAAGCAGAGCCAAGAAACACATGAATGGGTTAAAGTAAAGTCTTGCACTTAGGTTTAAAAAAAATAAAAAATTAACCATGAAAATTTGGATTGGATAAGATACGGTTACATAACGATAGATGTGAAAGATAACTGGGATTTTTAGTGAACTACAAGGTCAGTATGAATCAACAGTGTGAAAGCAGCTGAAAAAAAAATCTCAGGACAATTTAGCCTATATTAATAGAGACATAGTACTAAGAATAAGAGAGATGGAGATAGTTCTAGCACGCATTGTCCTCATCAGCCATCTGCAGAATTATGCTCAATTCCAAACACTGTATTTCAGAAAACACATCTGGAGAGGTAAGCATTATGGCAAAAGGTCACAAAGCATGTTATGCCAAGACTGATTGAGGGAATTATTGGTTGAAGGAACTCAAAAAAGGAAGGCTTAGGAGAGATGTGACTGCCATCTTCAATTTTTTTTTAAGGAATAACATATAGATGCATGAAATGATTAATCTTGCTTGATTTCAGAATACATAACTAGGAGTTAATGGGTACTATAGGTAGAAAGGTAGATTTTAACTCAATCTAAGATAAAACTTCTGATTAATTAAGCTATCCAGAGGTACCTGAAAAAGGTAGTGAGCTCCCACATCACGAAAGGTCTTCAAGAGGACACTTGGTTACTCCTTGTCAGGAATGATGGTAGATAGATCTCTGTAAAGGCACAGGTTGGCTAGATAGCCTCTGAGGTTGTTTGCAACTCTCATATTCTGCGACTCAAACAAATGTCTAATTTATGTACTTGTTAAAACACTCATTTTTATTTTCTTCTTTTGTTATATGAATCTTTGAGTACTCACAGAACATGAAGCTCACCCATAACACTTTCTTTCAGAGAGTTCTTCTGTAATAGTCAAATTTCTAAAACCAACATCTCTTTGAAATACACTACTAGATAAAACATGTGTCATGATAAGTTGGAAATTGATGAATATGTCATGCCAGGCCAAAACAATCAGCCAATGTGGCAGGAATAGTATATAGCATATTTCTATCATTCTATTCTAAATATAACTTAATTTAAAACAACTCAAGGATTTGTCTATGCCTTCTCCACTGCTTCCCTTAATGGTGAGGTCAGAAATTTGAAAATCCTTCTGGATTTACTTTTTAAAGACTTAATATTAACTATTCCTCTGAGGTTTTCATGGTAAAATTTAATAGACTTAATGCCTTACTTTGTCTTAGTAGTGATGACTTAAAACTTGTCATAAAGTAATTTATTCCTAGGAATCTATGGGGTATCTTTTCCTAATTAAATGGTCAGTGTTATTCAAATCAACCAATGGCCAGCCTGAAATACAAGTTAGGCAAGCCAGCTATGAACAATGAATCTGTAGGATATCAAAAATTCTAATCTCCCTGAAGAAGACACTATTTAATGCCCTGGAGGATAATTAGTGATGCTGTTTTGGAGGTTCTTTAGTATATGTTGTTATAAAGGCTATTATTTGTTTTTATAAAAATACACAAAGTATTTTAAAAGGCAGGGATAAAAACAAATTTTTGAGAGACAGTTGTGTTAATCCTGCTCAGAAACAGGTGTCCATAAAAATGAAGAGGGTATCATCTGGCTTTTGTTTTATTATTATAAGCTGTTAAAATTACTTATACAAATAAGTGATTAATTATGAACCTCTTAAGAATAGATAGTCTCCTCTTTTGAAAAGAAAAACAAGTATAACTTCTACTCACTAAACCAAACATGGAATAGGAATCATAATCTGGCTAGTTGATCATTAAAGATTATTCTACTTTCCTGAAAAATGTGACCCGCTGTCATCAACAGATTTCATTCTTCTTAATCTACTGCTTGAAATTCAACAGCTCCATGATTTTGTGGGTGTTGATATTCTCTCCACACTGATAAAGATTACAATCCATCTGTCTGGGCCTTAGCAGATTGTTATATGAGCTGCTGAAATAAAGGGAAAAAATCCCATCTTGGTGGCCAAACTTCTGGGGAAGGATAAGCATCTTCATGGTTATTTTGGCTGGTTCTTAGAATGCATACATATAGACTTTCTAGCTTGGTAGGATGTCATAGAAGTAGTGCTCCATTGGTATAACATTCAAAAATACGGGGTCATATCCCCTTCACAAAAAGGCATTGGAATGGTACTTATAACAATAGAACCAGCTCGGCCCTTTTGAAGATCCATTATGACAGAGACATTTCAATGCCCAGAATAAACTTACTCATTAACAAGATGCATGTGGTCATCTGATTATGTCCAATCATTAAAGTACACCTTTGATTCATCCTACTGAAGATGAGTTAACTGTTGAGATAACTTTAACTCAGTTGGATTCCATTTAAAAACGGGAACTAGAGGTGACTGTGACTGCTGCTTTCAAAGTTTCTTCAGGTCCAATGTTTGTTTTGTTTTGTTTTGTTTTGTTTCCTGCAAATCCATTTCTTTTCAAAATACCTAGTGAACACAGAATAATAGGAGTAAAGATTTGTATTGGCCACATGAAAACAGATTATTTTCTCTCAGTTTTAATTTCCCATGAACATTGTTGCTCTACAAGCTCAAACATGTACATGGGGCCTCCCTGGTATTTCTTCTGCCACTGAAACCCTGGTGCTGCTCAGCAGGTTTCTAATCTCTGACAGATTTTCATGCCTCAGTTGCCTTGCAATATTTGTTGAAACCAGCATTAAAAGAAAACAACACAACACCAATATGCTTTGAGTAGAAGTTTTCATTCGAGAAAGCATGGGAAGAAAAATATAATGGGATCACAACTTTCTTAACCAAAAGTAAATGGGGAAACATGTTGATATATTTCAGGCTTCCTTTAACAGTTCCCTTGTTAATAAATTCAATCTACACTCAGCTTTTAGAGCTGATGTGGGGCTGTACAATTTTTCCTGCTAACAAGTTGTTTTCAAAACTCTTTGGACCCCAAGTGTCCCACAAATAAAATCCCCATTGTTGTTTCTCTTCTTCCAAAGTAGAATGATATAATGAAATGAGCATGGGCCTTCAAAACAAAGGACCTATGTCACATGCTAACTCTGCCACCTTTGTAACTTGAGGTAAATCACTTTACTCTCTTGTCTCAGTTTCTTCATCTGTATAAAGACAGGGGTGGATCAGACGACCTCTTGGGTTCCTTCCAGTTCCAGTGTGAGTATCAAAGCACTACATGAATGCCAGCTCTTATTATTACCTTGTAAAGCAGCTTTAACAGGGTGATCTCTCTTGATCAACCTGATGAGCTCCCCAATCAACTTGATGACACTGCAGGGCAGGAAGCCTTTGTTGCATCTAATGGGGACCTACTCAAATCATCATGTTGAGAGGAAATAAACAATTCCTAATTGATTTTCAGTGACTTGGGCTGCTGCCAAAATGATTAACTATCTGGGACTCAGGAGAATGGACTGTGGTTAGAGCAATCACTTGCCTATGCAAGCCTATAAAAGAGAGCACACGACAAGTTTTCTCTTGTATTTGCAGTGATGTTTCATTAAAGATTCTGTTTCAGACTAGCATGTCTTCTGGATGGCTAGCAAAAGAAAAATACATAGTAGGTGATCATGAGATATGACTTTGAGCAGGTGTTGACCCACAGAGGGACTAGAACATAAGAGAGTTTCTAGGGGACCACATGAAATTTGTAAGGATAGGAACTAGATCTGTAATTTCATTGATATAAGGAAATTACAGGTGAGGGAACTCCCTCTACCAATGCAAGTTGACACCTTTTCTGCAATTTATAGTATTAGAGAGTGACCTACATACTGAGAGAGTAAATTGTCTGCCTGGGGTAATGCTCAATATGTTATTTCAGTGTGTGTCAGAGGCAGCATTTGAAACTATGTAGTCCTGACCTCAAGGCCATATCTCTATTCACCATTGTCTCTCAGTGGTGTGGAGACATACTATAGTTACTACTACCACTATTATTACTCCTACTACTACTGCTAAAAATAATAATAAGCATGCATACAAATACATGTATTTAAATGTATGTGTGGGCACGTATACATGTATATATGTATACACGTATATATAATTGATACAATATATATAGATATGCACATATACAAATATATAGCATATATGTAGCCTCATAAGAGTGAGATATCATCTATGTATATGTGTGTATACATATTTATAGAAATTATAATATATTATACACATATTTATACATATTATTAACTAGTGTTTTTATATGTACAATATAAATATATGTGTGTTATATACACATATATTTTTTAATTTGCTAAGTACTCTCATCACAACAGCCTTGTGAGGTAGCTAGAGCACGTATCATCATTCCCATTTTTATATATGACAAAACTAAAGTTCTAACTTAATTGACGTACGCATGATCATATAGCTAGTAAGTGTTTGAGACAAGATTTGAACCCAGTTCTCCTGACTCCAAATACAGTGCTCCTGCTGTTTGATGGGGCACTCAGAGATCATTCCTCCCTTAATTACTATTGTCATCCCTTTCTAAATTACTTTTGTATTTATTCTTTATAATTCATACATGTACGTGCTATCTCTCTTAATGGAATCTAAGCTCTCTGAACTTACATTGAGATCAAAGACTATGTTAGTTTTGTCTTTGTATTCCCAATGTCTAACTCAGTGCCTGGTAACAGATGCTTAATAAATGCTTGTTGATTGATCTAATCCAAACTGTACCTAGCAGGTATCCCACCCCCACCCCACTCCCTGATAAAAGGCTTCAGGCTGGTGTTTTCTCAGCCAATGATTTCACCAGGCTGTAAGTGTTCCTATATCTGCTTCTTGCAAACTCAGTCATCCACAATCCATCCATTCTTCTACCCATAAGTCGATATCCTCAGCACTTTGGCTTAGCAACATCTTTCTTGCAGCTACCAAGAGAACTTTAAATTTCACAGATATCTTTCTGTGTCCGATATCACAGTGTCTTTCTCCACTTCTCTGATCAAATTAAAAAAAAAAATATGTCATCCTCTTTCCTGAATTATACCTCCCAGAAGACTCCTTCACAAATATGTCTGGTTGGCTGCCATCTTGGCCCCTATCCTAGGTAGAATACATCTTTCAGGGACTCCAGGAGAGAAGTGTACTGGTTAGGACAGTTTCCTTCTATGATGCCAAAATCACATAAGACAATCAATTATCCTACGATAATTTTCTGTCTCTCAAATAAGATCAAATCCTCCAAGCACACCCTGCCCCAGAAGTTAATTAGTTCCCAGGGTTTATGCCTAAAATTTAAGTTGCTACCACAATACCTTGTTAGGGAACATGAGATTCACAAGTAAGTTCTTCAGGCATAATCAGCTAATTTTCATGCTATATTCTTTTTTTCTCAGCCTCATCTTCACTTATTACATCTTTCAGTGCATATTTTAAATCCTTACTTTCCTCCATTAAGTCTTCTCTTAGTCTCTACCTACCCATTTGGCAACTGGATATGGTGACAACTTGCTCCGAACCCCAGTAGCATTCATTTGTACTTCTCATGAGTCACATCAATCTTGCCTTGTATAGTTTGTGTATTCTGCATATTTCAGACCCCCTAATTATGCATATAAGTTCCTTGACAACAAAGACCACGTCTTAGTCACATTTATTCTTACCAGGGAAATCAGGACAGCTGAGCTGAAGGCGCAGCAAGCAACAGCTATTGCCAGTGGCTTTGAGGATAATACCAGCCTAGATTTGCCCAGAGGTAACAGATAACATCAGAGAGAGCTAGCTCAATTCTACATACATTGATTTGGAAGAAGGGAAAGAAGAGGAACCATGAGATTTCTTTGTTGTGGCACAGTTTATCTTAAGGAGGTCTATTACTCCTGGGTACCTTTCTCTGTGCACTGTTTGTCATTCAGGTGTTTCAGTGGACTCTGTGTGACCCCTGTTTGGGGTTTTCTTGGCAAAACTACCGAAGTGGCTTGCCATTTCCTTCTCCAACTCATTTTCTAGCTGAGG